GGTTCAGGATAGTCAGATCTCAAGCTGAGTAAGAAGAGTCGCAGAAGAAGCCCGCAATACTGAGTGGGCAGTAAAATGGCAGATGAAATTCAGTGTTGACAAGTACAAAATAATGCACATGAGGAACAACAATACTAACTATACACATGCGATGATGGACACAAAATTAGCTGCCATTACTCAGAAGCAGATCATTGGGAACAGCAGCTTAGTGCTCATCAAAGGACAGAGAGGAAAATCAAATGCTAGAGCATTATCAGAAAGCAAACAAGAAACATCCCAGAAAACATTTCTTTTATAGTAGGATAAAGGCATGGTGGGCCCATACCTTGAACATGACATTCATTTCTGCCTCTGCCGCATCTAAAAAGATTTTAGTAGTAGTAGCATCATAGAGTCCAACAGAAAATTAGGTCAAAGGGTCTTCATGAGATCTTTAGACCAACCTCATGTTTAAAGGAGGGATAACTGCAAGTCTAGAGGAGGTTGCTGAGGGCCTTGTCCAATCAAGTTATAAGTATTTCCAGGCATGGAGATTCCGCAGCCTCTCTAGGTAACCTCTTCTAGCACTTAACTACCCTCGTCAGAAAAAATATTGTCCATATATCTGCTCAGAATTAGGAGAGATTTGAGAATCCTCTGTCGAGAATGATCAGTAGCACAGAGCGGCATCTTTACACAGGGATAATAAATAAATTAGGACCTGCAGCTTGGAAGAGAGAGGACAGAGAGTGGCAACATCTTCAGGATTTATAAAATAAGGTATAAAAATGTCAGGTAGACTATATGCTATTTTTCATGTTGCTAGAGGAAGGGCATTCCTAATGAAATAATCAGACAACAGCTTAAAAGAAACAAAAATAAGTGCTTCTTTGCGAGTTGCATAGTTAAACTGTGGATCTCATTGGCACAGGATGTTGTGGAGACCAAAGGTATCAGTCGGTTCAGAAAAATACTAAGTGAATTTCTGAAGAAGAGAACTGCAGGCATTCACTGACCACTAAGATCTGGAGGCGGCTTTTGAATGAGGAACAGCTTGGGCCATGGACTGGGAGGGAAGAACAGAGCAAGGCAGATCCTGTTCCTACATGTTCTTTCCCTTGGCATCCAGAAAGGGGATGCTGGCCTGGGTGGACCATTGGTTTGACCCAGTACAGCAGTTCTGATTTAAAATTCCTAACCTCATGTTTAGACTGAAACATAGTAGATGGTGTCCTCCAAAGGGCCTTTGTTTAGTTAGCTAAGATACAAATTCAGCTATGTTGCAGCCAATCTTGTAAAAGGCTTCAACTCTAATCTTTACTTTGAAGTGGTGGTGGTAGAGGGAAATGCATTCCACAATGGCAGTGTATATTCAAGTCCAAAGAAATGTGATCAAGAAAGTGAGGCTGCAGTTCACAGGGTTGCAGGCAGGCAGAGGTCACCTTCTTCTCTCCTCCAGGCCCTCCTCTAGTTTAAGGAAGTCCAAGTGAGCTTTCCAGCTGCAAAGGGGCAGTAAAGTGACAGATGAAATTCAGGGATGCGTGTTGGATGTGGAAGAAATAAATCATAGAAAGTGGCACTTTCTGTTCGTGAGCTTTGAAAAATGCCTCCTTCTCAAGCTGGTCTGTGGGCTCTCTGGAGTGGGCTGCACACTGTTGATAGCACCTTCTTACTGTGCCTTCTCCTTGAAGTACAGTGCATCCTTATACATTCAATAGAGTAAAATACACAGCCCAATACCCTCTACTGGGGAAATGAAATCTGCTTCTGCATTCACGTCCAGAAAACAGAAGACAAAAGCTAAATAAAGTATTTGCAAGCCTATATATTTTGTTCATCATGCTTATCTAGACAAATTAATTTAGATGCAGGCCAGATAACGTCCTGCTTTGTTGTCCGCAGTCTCATTGCCCTAAATACTGCAGCTTATTCCATAAATGATTACTGCAGAGGGGTCAGGGAAGTCGCAAACTCTGTACAGGTTATAGAAAAAGAGCCCCTACATTTCTCTTCTGCCATAACTCCAGCCCTGTCAAATCAGACAGCAAGAATGCCAAGCTCTCCCTTTCCTTGGAAATTCATTGCACAAAATGGTTTGGGAGATGGTTTTTAATCCAGGACACCAGAATCACCAGGACAACCAGGTGATCAGGCCCAGTCAGCATGGGTTTATGAAAGGCAGGTCCTGCTTGACTAACCTGATCTTCTATGACAAGGTGACCCACTTGGTGGATGACGATGTGGATTTTGTCTACCTAGACTTCAGTAAAGCCTTTGACACCATTTCCCACAGCATTCTCCTGGAGAAACTGGCTGCTCATGGCTTGGACAGGCATACTTTTTGCTGGGTAGAAAACTGGCTGGATGGCCGAGCCCAGAGAGTGGTGGTGAATGGAGTCAAATCCAGTTGGGGGCCAGTCACAAGTGGTGTTCCCCAGGGCTCAGTGTTGGGGCCAGTCCTGTTCAATATCTTTAGCGATGATCTGGATGACGGGATTGAGTGCACCCTCAGTAAGTTTGCCGATGACGCTAAGTTGGGCAGGAGCGTTGATCTGCTGGAGGGTAGGAAGGCCCTACAGAGGGATCTGGCCAGGCTGGATCGATGGGCCAGGGCCAACTGTATGAGGTTCAACAAGGCTCAGTGCCGGGTCCTGCGCTTGGGTCACAACAACCCCATGCAACACTACAGGCTGGGGGAGGAGTGGCTGGAGAGCTGTCTGGTGGAAAAGGAGCTGGGGGTGTTGGTCGACAGCTGGCTGAATATGAGCCAGCAGTGTGCTCAGGTGGCCAAGAGGGCCAATGGCATCCTGG